TAACGAATTGGCGTTTCACCTGGATAAATGCCAACCCACGTACTTCCTCACTCCTGATCAGCAGACATTATCCTACTCTTTCTATGGTGAACCATCTGCCTATCTCTTACCACAGCGGAAAAAGACTTGGGTTTAATGGTTACGGAGAAACTGGACACCGATCGCAATCGCCCAGGAGATGCTTTAGAGGCATGCGGTGTACTACACTTTGTGCGCAAACAACTAGGTGTCCTCACCCCAGAGCTGTCTTTCAGACCCTACAAGACCTAAATACAACCCCACTTGGAGGGCCGCAGCGTCCTCTCTCCGTCACAACTAGAAAGAGGTACGTACCCGCTGGGGGAAGCTCAGAGGCAAGCCGCAAAAAGGGGTTGCTGGGATGCAACGGAAACCATGCGACAATAGACTGAGGGACCAAGACCAATGCCCTCTTAGTAACTCAGGGTTGCTGAGTGACCTGGTAATGACTTACAAAGTACTGAATAACTCAAGTCACCCGAACAGAGGCAGACTATCGAGTGACCACCATGGCGATCCTCGTGGAAACCCTAAAAGAACTGCTCACCAAAGGTCAAAAAGCTCGTGCACATTCTTCTCCTTTCGAGTCTGTGGGTACTGGAATGCGTTGCGGCAGAGATAGTCTCGGGCCCAATCGTTGAAAGTTTGAAGAAAAGACTAAACGGTCACACAGAGACTCATGGCCTGCTCTAAACCGAAGAAACCAGCTGCTGCCACGCCATTCCAACTATGTTACCTCTACATCAAGTTTCTTCCCGCTGTACAAAATTTAAGCCTGCTTCGTCCCTTTCACGTTTTATGAATCAGCTCCACTTACCCCGGCTCTTCATATCGTCGCACCTCCTCACCCTACTTGGGTGTAAGTAGATCACTCCACTGGTTCACTTTTCCCTGACTTTTACCCACACACATTTACCTTTCTAGGTCTTCTCTACACCATCCCTTACTCTGTCTAACCACTAGTTCGAACAGCTGTCTGGCAACTCGAAACCTAAAGGACCTAACTGCACCACAATCCCAGGCAAACTAAACAACACTCGAACTCCTGTTCTGTTTACCAGAGCCACAGCAGACGGGTGGCTGGCTGCATCGGAATCCACCGAAGACCTGGAACCATTCAACAAGGCTGAGAAGCGGGTGAGAAGAAATCAGCTGGATTATACAAGCTCGTTAGACATGTATTGGATATTGGATCAGGTAGTCCTAACTGGTTGTGCTGCTGAACGAATAAAGCAATAATAACTTTAGATTTCTCATACGCACGTTTTGGGGGATTTGTAAAGTTCACCTTCAAGTATGAGATTTGTTCCTTGTGTACTCACTAGGTTTTCAGATAGGGCCAAAAGTTATGGTCAGGCGTCTTCACCCTGGTTATAAGTTGTCAGGCCTGTGTCAAGATGTGTATATTTTGTATTCTGAAGGCAAATTTGACACAACTGTGCACTCTTCAAAATCCACTTTACCCTTTATTATGTTTTCGGTCTAGTCCTGTGCAAAATATTGACTGTATTTGCCGTCTTCGGTAAAAAGCTGTGTATGCAGCCGTATCTTCACTGTCAAGCGTCTGTTTATGACGCAGTGCTCTGATTACATGTAGAGATGGTCGCTGCTCAGCAGCCGATTAACCGCCTCAGTAGGGCTTCATCGACGGGCTTTCTGCATCCCAGCCGAGACTTCGTCATCAACCGCCCCCTTTGAGGTGGTCCAGCTCTCAAAGTAAGTGAAGTGATGGACGAATTCCACCACTTCACTCCGTATCATTAAACTGAGAGTGGCTGGAGACCGGTTGTGAAGCATCATCTTATATTTAGCTGGCGTCAGCCAGACGCGTGCCGAACATACTGAAATTTCTGCTTAACGCGTTCATACTGGTCGCCCCCATGAAAGACTGATTATTTTAAGTTACTGAGTCAATCCAGTCTCGTCTCCCAACTGAAGGAAAATAACAGTGACATTATTCGGCAATCTACGGGTGCAGGAATACATGTACTCCGTGAAGTTGAAAACTGTGTAATCACTGACTTCCATGGGACTGATCTTTTTCTCTCCATGCGCCTTTCCTGTCGTAATAAGCAATATCAATGCAAGTTAGTTACCAGTGCGCCATCTTTCATTGTCGCTAGATGTATGACATATGGTAGCGTATACATCCCTGGGAATCATAGTGTCACCTAAATGCACTTTGCATTCCAAAGCTTAGGCACGTACTCATGGCTAGTACGGACAATATAATTCCATGCTTTCCAATTATTTGATGATAAAAATCGAACTTTTCACCATTCTCCAGGAGAAAAAAGATCAACGTAAGTAAAAAAAGTACGTTGGAACTCTTGTGCACGTATGCTGGCATCTTCAGCCGAAAGGCACAGTCATTAACGACTTGTCGAATTGACAGAACCGTGGAAAACCCATTGAAGAATCGCTATGGCTTTGTATTACTCAGTAGTATTGGGAGAAGAGAACGCTGACTTCTTACCCCAAGGATTCTTTCTCAGAATTGTTTCACCCCTAGTACAACGTCAGCTCGGAATTTATCACCAAGTTTGTCGTTGTGCAATTCATAATATCAATGCACCAGCAGCACGATCTTGCCAATAAGACCTCTGATGCTCTAGGTGACATGTCAAAGACCCCTCACACACCTCAGAGTTGGCAGCGTTTGAGTGCACGACCAGGTAAAAATTTCAAATGGGCAATTAGGAGATACGAATTACTTGTGACCGAAGTAGGCTTATTTATTTGTGTCGGTATGCAAACAGATTGATAGTGAAGGTTCTGCAGTTACATTCACTAAGAAAACACAGCTTCGGGTTTCATATTCTGTATACGTTTTCATTCGTTTTAAATCCTGCATAGCTTCGTGGGTTATTGTTAGAAGCTGCATAAGTAGTCTTAGTTAATGAACGGTTTGAAATTTTTGTGAGAATATAGTTATTCACAGCATAACAAATAATTTGAAACCAGAAAACTGCTCATTCAATCTGTGGTTATTATAATTAGATGATAAATTGAAATAGCCCTCCATTCAGATTGTCACTTATCCCATTGTTTTACATGATAAAGTATGCAAAAAAATCTTAAAACTTCTCATAAGATATGTCACAGCTGACCAGTGTTGTCTAACGGAATGGAAACGAATTCATATTGTGAGAAATGAATCAAATGCGACAACATATCTTAGGATACATGCAAAATCTCCGTTCACCTTTCTTCCAGTCCGTGTAAACATAGCGGAATGCCCACGAACGAAGTTATCAGTGGCCACTAGTTGGAACGTTCCATACCTGTCTAATGACCGTTATGCAGAACACCCGAAAATAACCTTCCTCCAAATAAAATTCTTCCAACTTCTCTTTCTGCCTCAAGAAGTGGAATATTTCGGTTCTTGTCCCACTGCCCAGACAAAACTACGTCGGTGACTTCGAAACTGCTTTTAATGGCCCTCAACTTCATGTTTCCTGGGTCACTTGTCATGAAGACTTTTTTCGCTTCATCCCTGGCATGTCAGATCGCGTCGTCTGCGGAGGATGGCCACTGTGAAACTGGTTTCAAACTTCTCTTCCGTTTCCCTGTTGATTGCCTTCTCCAGGTATCAAAAACCACAACGGACGATGTACAGGTTTGACTGCGAACCATTTGGCAGGATCTAACAGGGTACTCATTTGTCATCGGTGTAAGCCAAAGCAGTGATGGAAAATTTAGAAGTTTTGACAGATGGGGGGATTACGACTTTGTAAAGCATTCGAAATCTCGCTCGTTCACCCTCCCGCTTTGATTGCTAGACTGCGCCACCTCTTCGTTATGAAGCTCTGGTGTCTGTCAGTCATCTTTTATCATTAAATGGGGCACACCATGTGTGCTTGTCGAGTGGTCGGTCAACGTTTTTCCTTGTTCACTTTCCCCTCCTGGATTCCCATGGTCACCACTGAATTAGCATTGCTCTACGCGCCTCGCCACAATAACGTACAGACCCACCAACGGGGCGAAGAAAACCCTTCACCGGCTGGTCGTTACAATTTCCAAATCAGTTTCCTACCTTAAGGAATATGCTTGACTCTGAAAATACACTTAGGTACAACGAACTTGCACTTAAAATGACAGTCGTCCGATTCTTTACTCTTCACGTGAATATAGTGGGTACGAATAACCTGTCTTCACCATAAGACACAACCGCTGCATGCTCGCTGCAACCTATTACCTGTATCCTCCACCACTCCAGCTGGATCATGACTTCGATAGCACCAATACATGGAACGACTCAGACAAGTATACTAATATAAGAGTAAAACTTGTGCACTATGGTGGAATGTAATTCCATTCTTATTGGTTTATTAGATTTATCATACAGCGTAACAGTATTGTTTACCGGATTGTGTTTCGGACATAACCCAGTAAACAATACTGTTACACTGTGATAAATCTAATAAACCAATAAAAATGGAATAAGTATTCTAACACTGCAGTATTTTTGAAGCTTAGGACGTGCTACTGAAAAACACTGGCTGTTTAGTATGTGACAACAAGAAAACTGAGTAGCAAAAATAATGCGACGAGATTTTGGTTTTTCGGTGCACATTAATGTTAAGTAACCTGGTATATGTAATTAAGTGTTATAAACCTGCAGGTCTGGAGCTTCTATAAGTTAACAAGCAGTAGACAGCGCTTAGGACATGAATGCAGGTTTCCGTTTGCCAATACACATAAAAAGGACCTCGTAGTTCGGTTGGCGGAGTATCAGGTCGCAAACAAGGCGGTCGCTGGTTCGAATCCGGTTGCGGTTCAAATTTTCATTTCACAGTCATCACCCACTATAAAGGAAGATACATCAATCATTTACCTCAAGCAGGTTGATAGTAATAAATATGACCTATTCAGTCACTATAGATTGCATTTATTCCGCCATATTGCCCAAACTGAAGTCTGTTTCCTGCCATACTACCTGAAAACCGTTTAGTATGAACAACGCGCCTTCAGTATTTTCCCTCAAGGTCGACTTGGGTACGAAGCGAGCCACATTCACTTTCGTGATAGCTTTTAGCCTCGCTAGTCCGGAAGTTTTCTGCTGCCAGCATCTGAGCCTTTGCCAACAAGTCTTCCGGTGATTTTGAACAATGTAAGTCTAGACCTGCATTCTCTGATGCGTAAATTCATGGAGTTGATAAGGGGTGAGGAGGACAAGTGGTTCGTCAATCGCTTAGAGTGAATCCAGAGATAATGAAGTCGTTGAAAAGAAATATTTCTTCGCTGATATGTGCCTTGTTCTTGTTAGTGAATCTAGAGAACAAATAAACCCGTAATAAGCCCATATAATTGTGAATCAGCTTTAGTGAGGACTTGAAAAATTTAGTCTTATGTAGAAGATGACTTATCATAACTAAATATTTTCGCATTTACTCATCGGAATTCACCACGAACCTGAAACCATTCCGCTAGATATAGAGGCGAGCGCAAATAAATCAATTGGTTTACACTGGTTCGTGAAAAGATACTGGATATTGGAAGATGCTGCTGACTGTCATTACAATTGTACGATAAACTATTTTCAAGGCGTTAATTCAAGTTATACAGGCGGTAATATGCATCGAACTATCGATCAAATACACGGATTAACTGACATGAAACCGGCTCACTGCATATGATATTAATTGTCAGAAAGTCATCCCATGAACGCTCTGAGTAGGCTTTAGATTTGTTGGTACTCATCGAAATACATATTTTTGATACTGAAGAAACAATACAACCGATTTTTCAGTCGTCACGAGTTAGTGCCTTAATGGACACTTGTTTTGAAGGGGACCATCTAGTCAATAGTTTATTTTTTGAGCTCTCTAGTGAAGAAACTCAGACTATTCAGTTTTTTATCAAGAGTTGTTGATTGTTTATTAACAATGTGTCTTTACGTATGTAGAAAATACATTGGATTACTAAAGTTAATAATGATTATTTGCTAATTAGAAGTGTATGTTGTATGCAATGAAGCTTCCAAAATATTAATCATATTATACCTACGTAACGAGTTGATGCTTTCTCAAACTTTTTAGTCTAAATACCCATTATAATGAATTGTCGTACTATTTCCCCATTTTTGTTAGTTTGGGTTGTCGATGTTTAGTAATACTTTCTTAGTTGTGTGTAATTATAATGCCTATCATATTAGCCAGTATTCACACTAAGCGAGTGAGAACAGTATGATAACACCCTGGTTCTATATGCTTATCTCAGAAATACAACATACATCCATCATTGGTAATGGCCTGAGAAATTTCCTAACATCTTGGAATCCCTATATAATAACACATCAATTAGAATGGGAGCGTACAGCCACTTGCCTCCATTGTTCCAAACCAGCAGTAGGGTTAGGCAGGGTTGCCCGACTTCCCCATTCCTCTTCAACTTTGCCATCAATGACATTCTTGAGACAGCTCTGAATGTGAGTCATGGTGGTGTAGATTAGTTACCCGGGGAGCGACTATCCGACGTTGAATATGCTGACGATATCGTCTTACTGTGCGACAACACACAGGCTACTCAAATCGCACTTAATCAGTGCTAGTAGGCATGGCATGTGCTTTGTATCATCGAAGTACAAAGTACTTTCACAAGATTGGAAGTACAATGCCTGCGCTAACCCTCGTTGGTGAACCGTTGGAGGTAGACGAAGGGTTCGCGTATCTGGGTAATTGGGTGAGCGGTGGTGAAGGTGTAAACGTTGACATTTCTAACCGCATATCGAAAGCCAGAGTGGCATTCTCCAATCTGGGCAACCTTTGGAGCTGTTGCGACATTAGTCTGGCCGTAAAGATTGGGTTTACAACGTTTAGGTGAAAGCAGTTTTGATGTACACCTGTGAAACCCGGCTTCTCCGAGCTGAGGAAGTGCATCGACTGTGTTCGATCATCGTTGTTTCCGTACGACTGTTCTTATCCGGTAACAACACCATGTAAGTAATCCTGAGGTACAATAACATGTATTTGGGCATGATGGAGATCGTAATTCAATAAGTAAAATCATCTAGAAACACCGGCTTCGGTGGCTTAGACATATATTACTCATGTCTTCCCAACGGCTCCGCTGCAGTTTATTGTCTGCCAACCCTGAGACTGGATGGAAGAAGCGAAAGGGTGGTCAGTGTATGACGTGGTGCCTTGGGATGAAGAATAGTTGTATCGAGTTAGCATCTGGTGTATCATGACTCCCTGCGTGGGGTGAGGTCCAAGAGATCACGCAACTCGGTGACTTGAGACGTTACCAGATATGGCTCAGAATCGAAACCAGTAACAGTCATTCTGTAGCTTTCTTCTATCTGCTGCTGGAAAGTAATGAATGTTTTGTTCTGAATGTACCTTACTGGACTACCCTTCTAATCATTCTTTTCTTATTGTGTTTTGTTTTTATTCACTTCCATTCGCCTTATATCTCCAGTGTCGTTAAATTTTGTGTGGCGCATTTCTTGGTGCCCTTACTGTATCACCTTTGTGTTTTAGTAATAATAATAATAATAATAGTAATGGTCACACTGATGGGTTGAAGAAGTTGTAAGAGGCTTAATATTGATATCAGGAGGCAGATGCAAAGGTGACAAAAGTTAAGGGAAATAGGTAATGTCCGGTTTAGCTTTATATGCTACTGGAAGCGTGCATATGGTTAGAACTTCGTGGCTGGTACAACCTACAAGGCATTATTCTTGTGTAACCACAGAAACCAGATGATGTCTGCTTGAGGCTGGTCACGCACGACCTTCTTGGTAACTTGGTACTGGAGTTTCTTTTGAAGGAAGCTAGAATAGCTATAGTGTCGGTGCCAGAAAACTACAGTGCAAAGAGTAGTGTGCTATTTTGAGGGCTGACATTTTCTATACATCCCCGATAGGGAAGATAGCATCAGCATGGACGACTGGTCATCCGTGAAAATACCCTACTATAATCTTAGTCCGTTTAACCAACAGTACTTCTCCCTCGGATCCCATCATAGCATAGTATATCACACTATAACGATAACAGGTTTTCTTACCATTATCCAGCAGACTTTTCTGGTGTGGTAGGACCTCAGAAAAAAATCGTTTCAGGAGACAACTCGTTAGGTCATTGTGAGACTCAAACTTGGTCACCACCTCGAAGTAGTAGGTATTGGCCGGACTTCTTTTGTGCATGATTAATGTTCAGTTTACATTTGAAGGTAAGCATTTCCGCCAGATCCGTGGTATAACCAGTAGGGGGACAATATAGTTCTTATTAGCGGACATCTGTATTTTGTGTCCATAGTCTGGTGGAAGATACAATTACAAAACTTAGTTTCTACGAAAGGTTTGTAGACGCCATTGTAGATATGTGTGGTAACCCAGAAACTGCTATATCATCCTTCAGTCGAACAAATAAGACCCAGACAGGTATCTCTACAGCATGTGAGAAGGAAAAAGATGCTACTCTTAGACGCTCTCATAACTCGGCGAAATGCGTGGATAAAACTACCTATAGGTAATATACATGGACAAGAGAATATCTAAACCACCACATTTTGTCCACATCAATATAGACAGATACCAGCTAGGTGTCTTTCCCATTGGATCCAAAAGGTGTGCACAAATGATACTTGAGAGGTGAAAACATAAAAGTCTCATCAAAATATTATTAGACAACAATTATCGCCTGAAACTGATTAGTCTTAATGTAAATGCTGTGCAATTAGCAACCATTTTTTAGTCATTTTCAAATAAAAACGTGTTTATCACAATATCATACAAGGGTGATTCACCAAATCTGCTAACTTAAGTTGTACAACCATCCGAAGATCGTGTTACGCATAACATTATCGCGAAAAATAAACTTGGTACTCTTGTAAACCTTCGCAGCATTTGAACTATGGAGTCACACCCAATTATGTTTGTCTACACGTACGTGTGACCACACAAAGAGGAGCCATCGATGGATGCAAGTAAGGGCAGTGAAGTACATTCCTTAATGGCTGAAGCAAGTCAAATCGAATGACTCAATTGACCCAGGCAGACAGAATTAACGTAGAACCTTGCACACGAGTCCATCGGTCCAAGTTACCACACTTAAAATTAGTATAAAAAGAACAATTGGATAAACAAAGAGTGATATCAGAGCGGGCAGAGTTGTGTCACAGTAGAGAATAAACAATTTGAAGATAGAGGTGAGTGCGAATATTCAAGCTTCAGAAGATGTCAAAGGGTGAATACGTCTGCACCATTAAAACCGATTCTCACCCATGTCACCAAGACTTCTCAACCGCTAATTCCTCCTCTTGAGGACCCCAATCAGGCAGTCTACACCTCCCCACACAGCTCACACAGACAGTTAGGGACTTCATCGACTCGTGCCAGGTTTTAGTCTGTCCACCCTGAATTCTTTTCCAATCCAACCCAACTTACCCTAGCATTGGGCGTCGAGGTAGGTAGTAGTGGCTCGGCATGTGCAGTACATGTCCAAGCCACCTCAGCCGATGACGGTTCACAACCTCATCAATCAACTTGCTTGTCTTGCCTAGTACCCTTTAGCTGATCTCAACACTGCTCGCAGGGTGACTGCATCACACGCAAGGCATGCTGTGAAGACATCTGTGATCGAAACCCAGTATCCGCTTCATGTCTTCTACTTTTAACAGTTATGTCTCATAGTGGTATCAGAAGAGAGAACAGACAGCAGCCCAGAATGCTTAGCTTTTGATAGCTACTCGGGAGTCTCTGCAGTGTGTATCATAGATGCCGGGAGTTGGCAAATGCCAAACAGGCGTTCTGTATCCGAGCCGAGATATCGTCATCAACCACCCTGTTTGAGGTGATGCAGCTCTCAAAGTAAATGGTGGTGGATGGATTCCAGTGAAACATGCCACACAAACTCGGATTTTCACTCAATGAATTCAGAAAACTTTGCACTGTCTGCGGGTGTTCACATAACAGAAGAGTGTCGCCTGCATACTTCAAGTCAACCGGGTTGACCTCCAGGCAGTGGGTCAATCTCTGTGAAATCAGACCTTCCTAAGTTTATGTCCGTTAGTACATCTATAACGAAGTTAAGTTGGAACAGTGACAGTAGGCATTACTAGTGGACGTCACTGGTTGTCGTCAGTTCTGGAGACAACTCTCCGATGTCCTGACACTGCTGCGTGAATTCGAGTAGAAAGCTTTGGTTAACGTTATATACTTGTTCGGTCCCTCTTTCATAGTCAGACACTGCCATAACACTTCGCGTTCGACAGAGTCAAATGCCGCCTTCAGGTCAAGATAAATGGCAAGTATCGGCCACTAGCCGGCACGTAAGCATGTGCTCCGGAACCTGTCGGAGGGTGGGAGTGTGATCGATGCATCCTCGTTCAGGTCTGAAACCTGCCTGCTTTTCTTGAGCTGCAGTTAGTCGCCGGATAACTATGGACCCTAGGATCTTGTACGCAATAATAGTGAAACTAATTACCCTACGATTGTCACAACAGGATTTCTTTCTCTTCTTATAGACTGGGATGGTCAGTGAAGTAGATCAGTCTGACGGAACTACTTTTGACTTCCATACACCTAGTACCTCTGCCACCTTGATTGGCAGCTTCCTACCTCCATCTTTAAAAGCTACGGGCGGAAAACTGTCAGGTCCTGCTGCTTTGGATTGTTTGAGGTTCTATACAGCTTTCTGAACTTCAGAGGGAGAGTCGAAGGACGGACATCTAAGTCCCATTCCGACTCAGGCTGGATCCTGGGCAACTGAAGAGTTACTGAGGCCCAGTTAAACTATACTTCAGAATGTTCTGCCCACCGTTTTAGCCTCCTATCCCGGGAGGTTATCAGCGTCTCATCCTTCTCGTTGATGATTTCACTCGCCATCGTCTTATCATTGCCGGTATTTCTAATAAGCCTAAGTAGCTGGTGGATGTTACCCAACACTGACGCCTTTTCCACCTTTCTCGCTTTCGCCACCCACCACTAGTCGCGGTCGTCGTCAAGACTCTTGGTCACCTTATGTTTGAGTTACTTTCGCTTTTCATCGTGGTCAGAACCAGCTGGAATCATTCTCGCATGAATCATTTCAGATGATGTCGCGGAAATCCAATGACTTTTGCTAACCTTTGGGTGTAGGTCACCAGTTGTCTTAACCCCTGTTTCTAAATCAGAATTAATAGCACGCCATGTTTCCTCACGTTGAGCATTGGTGTCACGTTCAGATAAATGCTTAGCTAACTCCTCTCATAATGCACACTCGACATCCTTATCTACCAATAGAGCACAAATGGTCCTCTAGCTCCTGTTTCCTGCAACCAGTAAGGGCCAGACATGCACGAGCTTGTACTAATGCGTGATCGGAGTCCAAACTGGAACATCTGAAAGAGCAGCGATTCTCCACCGGTACTCTCCTACGGTGACTGGTGGCAATATGAACTGTCTGTATCCATCGGTGGTTTGAAGTCGGCGGAGGCCATGTGAAGTAGTTAGTGTTGGCCAGAAACAAGTGATTGTCCGAATCAAATTGCAAGAGATGATCACCGTTGTCGGTTCGTTGGCATGGGATTCCATATATGCCTCCAAGATGCTTCTACAATTGGCCCACCTTGCCTACGTGAGCGTTCAAGTTACTTGCCATTATGACTACATCTCGACATTTTGATTTTTGGAGCAAAATTGACGGTTTCTCATAGAATTCACCTTCTGCATCATCGAAACTGCAGTCGGTGAATGCGTAGGCAGAGATTACGAACAGGCATCGCCTAGTTTCATGCTCCTTTCTAGTCCTTACGGATCCATTCAGTCGAACAGCACATAGAAGGCTGTTGACTGGCATCCAGCCGAGAAGTGCACTTTCTGCTCTACAACTCAATGCTATGCCTGGACCAGCGAGTTCACGAGAGCTGGCCATCTGGTCTCTGGATACTCAAGGTGAATTTTGAAGATTCACTACTATGACCTGGTGAGCTTATTTTACTAACCACACTCAGGTCCAATATACGTGTGTCAGAGACAGCATACATCCATGGCTAGAGATTCCAGAGGCTTGGCGAGGGATGGCTGCTGTCCAATTTGGACGTTGAGAGCTCCTACATGAAATCGATGGTAGGATCTTAGGAAGCTAGGAATGAGCTTTCAATAGGGTTGGTCTTTGACAACAGTTGAGGAGTGAGAGGGTGGATAAGACGTAAGGGCCCTAATCTTAGTATCAGAAGGCGAATGTAAAGAAGGAGAAATTTGAGGAGGATAGGTTGTGTTTTATTGTCTTGTGTACTACTGGAAGCGTGCGAGCGGTTGACACTTGCCAACTGCCCACACCATGGAAGGCTATTTCTTCTTAAGGTACTTGAAAGAGAAAAGAATTTATGTAACCGTAGAGCCTATGGGACATCTGCTTAAGGCCTGTCACACAGCCTCTTCTTGGTTGTTCTTTTGAGGTTTGGTTGTTCTAACTCTGACTAGATAGAACCCATACCTCCGGCAGCGGAATACCCTGGGGCAGATGGCGTACGTTATTTTTTAGGCCCACCTTTCCTAACCCCTCTTTTTCCCACAGAGAAGGCAGCATCAGCGTGGCACTGCTGGTCAATCAAGAGAAACATCTTACTACTGTCACATCCCCATCCACAATCAGCAGCACAAATTTGCCGTCGAACCACCATCATAGTTTAGCAAATCACCCTACAACGATAACTGCTTTTTGTCTAACTACTACTCAACAGAACTTTCTGACATAGTAAGATCTTGAGGGTATAAGTGTTCCATTAGCATAGCTCGTTGGTTCATTGTGATATGCAAGCCTGACCACCACGTCAAGGTACCAGCTATTAGTCGGGGACCGAAGTAATATAAATCTCATTTCGTCTACTACTGCACATTTCATTGAAACGAGTCACAGAACGCATTACAGTTACGTATTTACGTTTTCTGGAGTTTTAGGTCTAAGAAAGTTTAGACCTTTTTTTATGTATTCAGAAAATATTCCTTGTTACACTGAACCTCTCTTGGTAATAACTTTAATATCAAAGATGGTTCGTGTGTTATCTTTCCCTTTGCACTTATGAACTAACCTCTAAGCTAACAGCCTGACCTTTTATTATTTCTTTATTTTTCTAACCCATTTATCTTTTATTAATTTCGTATTAATTTTGCTTGACAAGTTCTTGTACGATCAGACTGTTTGAAGTGTTGTGTAAATACATTACATCTTTCAGATTGTTTTATCGAAACAAACTGTTTGTCGTTGTATTATTTGTTTCTTTCAAGGCATTTTTCAAAACATCTTATCAGGGTATTACCGAGAATTGTTCATCGTCAGTACTCCTCAGATATTGAACGTGCTGCAATCGACAAATTACGAGCATCCAGCAAATATGTGACTGTTGATTTCAGTACAAAAGATGGTGTTGCTGTACTTGCAATGAATTATCAAGCGAAGAAGAATGCCTTGAGCAGATCATTTGTTTCTTCTTTGTCAGAGGCTGTTAAAGAGTTAGAGATGGACAATAAATCAAGAGTTGCTATTGTATGCAGTTTGGTAAGTGCACACACACACACACACATACACATTGTCCATTATGTCTATGCTTATGTGTAGTGCTCAAGTGTGACTTCATACAGATTGGTCTAATTACAGGACAATTCTTGTCAAATGTGGAGTACAAAGATAACGTATTCCTGTTAAATAAAGATTATGCTAAGATGCAGATTCTTTTGAACACCTTAAGTGGCAGCCTAAAAATGTTTTGGGATATGCTTCTTACCACTAAAATGTAAATTGTTACCACTGGTCTTCAGTGTTGCCCCGTTTGAAAATAAGCAGTAAAATGGTTGACTGCGTTTATCACTTCACCTACCTAGGGAAATCGGATCGTCTCTGATGGGTTAGTCAGTGACCGACTACATCTCTTCACGAATACAAAAAGCTCGCCAAATGACACCCTGTATTTCGTCGTCACAATGTCTGATTGTCGATTAAGAGTGTAGTGTGGTGTAGTGTGCTGCAGTTTGCTATGTTCTGTTGTATGGCTGTGGAATATGGTCATTAATTGTGGAGAATATGAGAAGGTTTCAGATGTTCGACGACTTGTGGCCTCACAGCATAAGCCGTGTGTTATGGTGTCAGGACATCATTAATGCAGAAGTCAGATGTAGAGTTTTAGGAAGGAGATGATGAGTTTGGCAACGTTGATCTATTGAGGTGGTTGGAATATGTTTTACGTGTGCCTATTGATCGTGTGGGTTGTTATGGAGTGTTTACTGGGACAAGGCTTTGTTTGAGTGGAAAGACTGTAATATGTCATTAGTGAATGAAGTTGTTGACTGGTGTTGTGAGCCGTGTGTAGAAGTGTCGACTTAACGGTTCAGTGGTGGAGATGTATTCACACGTAGTCATCTTAATCGTTATAGTGAATTCAGTATTTTCTCCTTCCTCTGTTTTCCTGCTTGTTACTGCTTTTGACTGACTTCTCTCTCTTTCTTTATGTTTCATGTCATTACTATGTTATTTGTTGTGCTGAAATGAAGTGGTATGACTGGTAACTTGAATCGTTATGCCTGGTTCTATGTTAGTACTGAGGATGTCTTACTTATCAATTTATGTTAGACGGTAAACGTTGGGTTGTGCAAAGTCATGAAAGGTGTTTATTAGATAATGCAGAGGTGGTGATACAGTTTCACTGTTCGCTGTAAATTGAACATACCACCGTCATCACTATCCTTACTGCATTTGATTGTGGCTATTTATTCACGTATACATGATCAATTATTTATGCTGGTGCATATTGACTTCCTTCAGTTGAAATTCCAGGTGAATATCACTGTAAACTGTGGTGTATATTAGGTAACTGTATCAGCCATGCTTCAGTGGTATGCACTTGTGACCTCCTACCCTCCCCCTCCCCCCCCCCCCCCGGTTAGGACTGATTTGCAGATAATGGAAAATTATTGGTCTAGTCCTATGTTTTACACATTTTTTTACTTTTAAATCGCTGGAATGTGAAGTCTGCAGTTGAAGTAATAATGAGACAGTAGTTTTTTGCTGAGTAAATAGCTCATTTTCTAGGTATCATTTCTTCAGTTTGTATCTTTTAGGGGTAACTGAAATACCAGTCGAATTTTGTTGTATCCAACGTGTGTGTTTACTAAATTACATTTTCAAACAATCGTTCCAGGTTTCAGATGTCTTCTGTGCTGGCGCCGACCTGATTGAAAGAGCTGAAGTTCCCGATATAGATACTCCAGATTTAGTTGCAGGACTACGGTCTTTATTCCAACGCATCTATTTATTGCCTATGCCGACAATAGCCGCTGTGGATGGTGCAGCCTTTGGTGGTGGCCTAGAATTGGCACTGGCCTGTGATATTCGTTATGCTGGAATTCTGCCCAAGTGTAGATTAGGTTTGGTTGAAACACACTGGGCCTTACTACCTGGTGCTGGTGGTTCACAACGTTTGCCCAGATTAATTGGAGAAGCTAAGGCGAAAGAATTAATGTATGCTGCAATGAAGATTACTGCTGAGGAGGCGGAACATCTTGGTGTTGTGAATACTGCAGTCAACCCGAAAACTGTACCATCCGCATGGGCTGATATGCCTGGTTTATATCATTCCCTACAGTATGCCTCCAAAGTGTGCACTAAAGGTCCACTTGCTGTTCGCCAGCTGAAAAAAGCTGTCAATCAAGGTTTAGCAGTTGGCTCACTTGAAGCAGGTTTAAGCATTGAAGGACAATGCTATCGAGTTCTCATCCCAACTAGAGATCGAAAGGAGGGAATGTTGGCGTTTAAAGAAAAGCGTGAGCCTGTTTACCATGGACTTTAAGTCTTAGAATGCTCAATTTCTTTTTATTTTAGTTAGACACTAACCAGTGTTTACCTTCCTTCTTTACTTTCAGGTTGTCTTTTTGTGATAGAGTAGGTTGTGTCTTTTACTAGATTATATACTCTATTTTCTTGTTTCTTACTGATTTTTGTGTGTAATTTCATATTATTTTTTTTTAAATAAATATTTTTGCACTACTAATAAAAGCATTCCAGCAGGACTCATCGAGTTTTTTCTATCTACTGTTTTGTCATAGGGTACAAAGTTGGTGTTGTTCATTTCTCTCTCTCTCTCTCTCTCTTTCTCTCCATCTGTTAGGTGTTTTGTCTGGTTCAAGAAATTCGTTAAGCGAACAATGGAGACATATCTTCTTAATAATAATAATAATAATAATAATAATTGTGTGATTAAGCCTCATTCTCATCAAGCATCGTTTATCTCCAAACTGCCTTCAGTTATTATTGCCTTTCTTGGCATTTATCTATTTCTTCATGGGTTCTTATTGAATCGATCTGAACTTTATGACGTAGCAATTGAACAACCGAGATTATCTAGTTCCCCTTTAATCTCCACTTTACAAAAACAACAACAAGAAAATCGAATTATCATATTACTAGTTGATGCATTGACGTATGAATTCTTTCACAAGAATGATAGTAATATCATACATAAATATCTATCAACACACTTTGAAAAACTTTATCGTTCCCTATTTGACAATCTGTCTAAAGCTTATTTTATCGGGAAGTTTATAGCTGATCCACCGACTACAACACTGCAACGTTTAAAAGCTTTAATGACAGGCAGTATGCCAACATTTGTTGATGCTGGGAGAAATTTTGGCGGAAGTAAAGTAATGGAGGATAATCTATTGAAACAGTGGAGTAGAGCTGGAAAACGAATCCTGTTTGTTGGTGATAAAACGTGGATTGAATTGTTTCCTGACTGGTATGTTGATGGCTAGTAGCACTTATGTACATATATATGTGTGTGTTGGATTTTGTTTCTTTCCTGACGAGGTATCCACCGGTTTTCATTTCAGCCGTGCGTATGACCAGCTAATCGGCCATTCTATAAAGTACACGAGCTTAAAGCGGATTTGCTTTTACATTTTATGTTTGAATAACGCAATCCCCATACCCTCGAACGTAGTGTAGTGGGCGTTGCTGATAACAACGGATATAAGTAGTATATATGGAGAAGGTGGCAGGAATCATAGGGAATTACCGGCAATAGGTAAGGTTGCTGCCAAGAACAACGCAGGGGACAACACAGGCGTATTACAGGGGATGCTCCTGATAAGAGTGTATGAAGAGCCGGTCAAGAGCAAACCAAGACAGGAACGGAGAGGAAACGAAGATATTTGCAAATGGCTGCGTTAGTGCGGTCAGCAACTGTTGTTGGGCATCCTCATGCAACGTGGGAAGCGCTCGTCGAAGTAGTTTGGTCAACTTCACAGCCAACACCAGTGGATCTTCATCCGTCCCCAGCTTCGCGCTGCGGAACTGCTGCATCGCCTACTCCCTGTTCCCCGAGCTGTCAAACTCCGCCTTCAGGTGCTGAACCATTCTCCGCAAAGTCTCCTTCTCGTCACCACGTTCCACTCCGTCATATGCTGCTATCGCTCTGCCCCGCAGCAACGTTCCCAGCACCACGACCTTCGCCTCTGGATCCCGAACCCCCACCAGCTCTGCCATCGCCTCGAAGTTCTTGAGGAAGACCTTGATGTCTCTATCCCCGTACTCTTCAGGCCATAGGATCTTCATCACGTAAGAAGGCAGCGACATCAGTTGAAAGAACAGAAGACATCTCGACGAGAGAATGTTGATTACGAACAATTGGAATGGTAGTGGTTACATATCGTACTCCTTGCACTAACCCAGTCATTTGCAAATATCTTCGTTTCCTCTCCGTTCCTGTCTTGATTTGCTCTTGACCGGCTCTTCATACACTCTTATCAGGAGCATCCCCTGTAATACGCCTGTGTTGTCCCCTGTGTTGCTCTTGGCAGAAACCTTACCCATCGCCGGTAATTCTCTATGATTCCTGCCACCCTCTCGATATATACTAATTATATCCGTTGTTATCAGCAACACCCACTACAGTAGTATACTTAATACATAATAGGAGGATATATTATTAGAGTACAGTTCCACTCCACCACCTCAATTACCTGAAAAGTCAAGTCAGTTCTGGTAGGTTAGACAGTGACCGACTACATCTCTTCACGAATACAAAAAGCTCACCAAATGACACCCTGTATTTCGTCGTCACAATGTCTGATTGTCGATTAAGAGTGTAGTAGTGTAGTGTAGTGTGATGTAGTGTGCTGCAGTTTGCTGTGTTCTGTTGTATGGCTGTGGAATATGGTCATTAATTGTGGAGAATATGAGAAGGTTTCAGGTGTTCGACGACTTATGGCCTCACAGCATAAGCCATGTGTTATGGTGTCAGGACGTTAGTAATGCAGAAGTCAGATGTAGAGTTTTAGGAAGGAGATGATGAGTTTGGCAATGTTGATCTATTGAGGTGGTTGGAATATGTTTTACGTATGCCTATTGATCGTGTGGGTTGTTATGGAATGTTTACTGGGACAAGGCTTTGTTTGAGTGGAAAGACTGTAATATGTCATTAGTGAATGAAGTTGTTGGCTGATGTTGTGAGCCGTGTGTAGAAGTGTCGACTTAACGGTTCAGTGGTGGAGATGTATTCACATGTAGTCATCTTAATCGTTATAGTGAATTCAGTATTTTCTCCTTCCTCTGTTTTCTGCTTGTTACTGCTTTTGACTGACTTCTCTCTCTTTCTTTATGTTCCATGTCATTACTATGTTATTTGTTGTGCTGAAATGACTGGCAACTTGGAGCGTTACACAGTAATGTCTGGTCGTCATTTGGTAATAATTGATTGATTTCATTCAACTGATTAACACCATATAAGCATAATATTTTATTAGTATCCGACATCGGCATTCGTCATATGACTTAAGTTGTGTCTACTGAGGGATATCATCATAATACAGTAGATTTAGTGGTTTTTCAAAATGATGGTTGCTGCTGCGGTATTCAAAGTGGCTAATATCCTGGTTTTATTTTTCACTTTCAAGGTTGAAATGAGGCATCCACGCAACTAGTACAAATACTTTAGCTGTCCACTTGATCGACAATACAGTATCCTACTAACATAATTGAAAGTAATTCAGTTTGTAGGTTTCCGGGGACCGATTGATTTCGGCGTAGTATTGTTCACCGACTGACACCAGTTCATCTTAAAGGCTTATTAATGACACTATGAGATACATTTCATGGAGTTCTACTGAAAAAGGTATAACCTGTAGGGTCAGTCAAGTCACATATGAGAACGAATACTAGCCAACGTCACACCTGATCATGAATTGACAGAAGTGTAGGGGTATATCATCGATTGGATTCCGAGGCAGTTACTCAATAGGGATATGGTCACCGGGAAATTTCAAGATCTTCATTTCGATCGGGTTTTCGAATCTTGGATGTACATTGCTGATGAATCGCGTACTAGGATGAAATAGCTGTTGTCATACGCTTCCAGATTTTCACTATTGAAGAAGCTTTTCATCTTTCATGCTGATTATTCATTTTTCTCAGTAGTACAACAATTTAACTTGAGGTAGATTAGATTAAGGCAAAGAAAACATTCCACAGAAAACTTTGAATGTGGAAAAATTGACTTTATCTGTCTAGTCGCTATTTCTTATTTCGGTATTTGTACTGCTCAAAATAAATCGGTCTTAACTAATGTTTCACAGCTATTACAGTGATGTGAATATAGCTTGATCAAAGTTATAGGAAACCGAAATTTAACATATCCTCAAGCTTGATATACGTTCTTTTGAATGAATTATTCAGCGTTGTTAATATGTTGACGCCCAAACATGGTATCCATATGTAGGATATATTACATGTGGGAATTATAAATCAGTTTAATTGTGTTTATAAAATAAAAGGCACAGACTGAGGTGCAGTACATATACGACAAACTTCCCATGAAATCAAAATTAGACAAAAAAGAACACTGAAGAGCTTCCAACCCGACCTATTAACAATCCTATGGAGTGGGAAAACACTTCAGCCACACTGTATAATCTCAAGTCACAAAGACGACTCATTGACAGTGTTGAAATTATATTCAGAAAGGCTTTAGAAATGATAAAGAATAACGTCTTATACCAGAATTCCTTCGCATAAAATGGAATCAAGATTGTCTAAATTGGAATAAGGGAAGGAGTAAAGTGTAGTTTAACCTCTACTCAACCTAAATAGTCAACATACATACAATAAGAACTCTCGATCAACACATGTATAAATACAAATCTCATCACACTAACAATACACTATGCAAGGAGATCATCTTTCATGTCAATAATCTGACAATGAATAATCGTTTATTTAGGAGAAGGTATATCAAGTTGTATATCGGCTTGGGGTATATTGTAAATTCCGGTTTATTATAACTTTGATAAAGCTATTAGCAGCATCCAGTATAACAAAACATTAGTAGTATCACTGGCATCTTGATTATGAAATGAATTGCTCAAACTTGTGACACAGGGGTTAGGAGGATGGGTAGAAGGAATTTTTCCATTGCTAACCAATTCAGCCATGACGCATCCCACCTATTAGGCTTTGAACAGCTCTGAATAGATAATAACTTTTCTACTCATATATTAGATGCAGCTGATAGCCGACTGGTTGGCGACATAGTTGCATAGCTTCTGATGAGGTCTTTGGGATATCCATCCCGCTAAGCAGTATTGTTGTTTGAGGATTGTGTGAACTTTGACATCATATGACCCTTCTTCAAGGAAGGTTTTTTTGAAGTGACAAGACACCTACTTCACTTGTTTATTCGTGATTTCAACAATATATTAGGTCAAATTTTTAGCCTAGTGTCTACGAAGTCATGATGAGCACCAGTAATAGTGAATATTGTGGCAGCTGTATTTCAATTACTTTATAAACTTATCCATTCATATGAATGGATATGTGCTGTATATTAGAAAAGGCAACTTTGTACTAATTCTTCAAAACGTCTTAGAAGAAGTTTCATTTCTTACGTTCACCTTTCAAAGTTTACTAGTTGTTATCATTTTTCTTTTTGTGTGAATACATTGTATTCATTGTAACGATCTCATAGCCTAAGTGGTTGTGAACATCCTAGGGGGTAACTGTTGAATGTTGCAGACTTTGATTTCTGTAAGCGTGTATGCTTTCACCTTTGATACGATCAACTGGTCTTAAATCATTACAACGATTTTTCTCAGTCAATATCTATCTTCACTGGTATGGCAGCATGAGCTAAGGAATCATTAAAGATCGAAGAAAATTAGATAGTCGTTTCGTTCAAATATTTGGCAAATCGACAGCGTGCATCCATTAGTCCATATCTGGTCAACCTCTAGGATTTGTATGCTTCCCAACAAACATTACTACTGAATATATGATGTGCAATCTAATGGATGTCAAACGTCACTCAAAATCTGTTATTAACTGACCAACAAAAGGCTTGATAACAGCACTTACAATTGAAGTGTTTAGTCCGCAATTAGCCTTCTGTAGGATGGGATTACATAAACTAACTATCCACTACTAGATAGTAACCAATCTCTGTGATACATAACCAAATTAAGTTCTCTCTGATATTAGAAGTGTGTTCAAATGTTAGATAGGTGTATTAGTTTTGTGACTGAGTGGTGGGGTTGCGCGCGTAAGCATAATGGATATTGGGACTCAATAGACACCTCAACCGAATACCTTTACGACTGACCTCCCTCAGTACCTTCTGCTTCACTGATCCGCGGAGAAATCAGAAGACGGCCTGTGACTGCAAGAACATCGACAACTTTCATTAGGCAAATACACGACATATGTGTATTTACAGAACTCTCAGAAAGTGAAGCCATAAATGAAGCAATCCGATTTGTTACATGAGGTCGAACTTCTCCAATCAGGTTTTCAGGTGAGCGCATGCATAAGTCGTGACCTGAACTTGATCTGGTCACGACTTGAAAAGTCCATTGGCTGCCTTCTTGTCGCTACATAACAATTAAGAACTTCTTTCTACAAAACAGAATTATTCAGCCTTCTAGTGATATCTTGTTATGTACTGGTTATTTTGTTAAGGGCAATCAGATATAGATCGCGCTATATCATGAACTGATAGCAGTAGGAAATATGGACCACTGGATTCCGACCCAATGGGTAAATGGTAACGTGCTGTTCGTGGAATCTGAAGGTCTTGAGTTCGATACCCTGCGCGACGGCATACTGTTGAGTGGTCCCAGCTGTATTCCAATGTTGATCCAACTGATTTCAGTCCATGATGAATTCCAACCTGAATTAGATCAGTTAATAAATCTTCCCAAACCTACAGATTGATTTTTGAATTGTTCAATTGATGTAAATGTTTCTTCTTATCCTTCTACTTATATTCACTCAATTATTCAGTTTCAGTCATTATAAAGCTTTTCCATCATTCAATGTCAAAGATTTGGATACAGTTGATCTTGGCGTTAAAGATTATATTCTTCAGGCATTTGATCGTAATAGCAGTACTAATTGGACAGGGTCTACTGCTATGAATAACACTGGGGAACAAATACCATTAAACTGGGATATTCTTATCGGTCATATGTTGGGCATAGATCATTGTGGACACACATATGGACCTGTACATCCGGAGATGATGAGGAAACTGGATGAATTGAACAATTTTATAAGGTTAGTTATTTATTTCTGAACTGGACTAAACAACAGGAAATTGTTTGCTCTCCAGTTAACAGTCAATGTATGTAATCCAGTCTTACTGGAGGTCAATCGCTACCCGAATAGCTTAGTGATAACGTCACTGATTATAACAGTTGGTGACTCGGGTTTGACTCCAACAGGGGATAAGAGTCGCCCAGAGGTTTGAAATACGCCTTGCTGACGAGTGCCAATAAACACGAAACCTAGGTCAAGCAGCGCTTTCAACCGATTGTCTTCAGCCAACTAACGTCTATTAAAGTGCATTGGTATAGTGAACCTCATAGCTTGGTGGCCGCATTGCACCACCAAATACCCTGGTATGCATTCACAGCCTCTGCCAGGGAAATTTTTATCTACTGCCTTCACATGGTGGGGGTGTTTCCACAAAAGTGAAAGCGAATCTCTGGGACTTATCACCAGATTGGTGAGTACTGAGGGTCCACCTTGGGGAGTTCAGAAACCCTGATTCCAAACCAGTGGGACACATGGACTCCAGGTTCCAGAACAAACGAATGACGTATGAACCTATTTTGATCACCGGTAACCATGAGAATTCAGTTCCTGGTATCACTCCACTGCTTTGTGGATTAGACTTTAAGTCAAAGGCCCGAAGAGTAGTCCCCTAAGACAACCATTTGCTTCGGTCTGGGCGCCCGGGCAGTATCACAGCCCTCACACAAAATGTGAATTTAAAGTATATAATGAAAATTTTGAAGCAATTAACCAACTTTTCTGCGAATAATCAAGCCCTCTGCACTACGATTGTTCAACATATTGCTGTCATGTTGTTTTTACATATGAACTGGATTTTATCATTATCATTTTCGCTTTTGTCTTTATCTTCACTTCAATCAGCTGCTCTCCATTGCTTCTGCTTCTGGTCTGTCTATACTGTTTCGAGTCGCTACACAGTTGCCCTATAAAGCTGTTCTATAGTGTGAAATCATGCACAGCTATCTTGAAACTACACATACTGTTTAAGCTCGTTACCTTCAGCGTTCACACCATGATGCAGATCGGACAACAGGCAGGTTCGGTTAGGACTCTGGAAAGCCGCACTACTGCATCTCAGAGACTCGCATACAAGATCACAGTGAAGTACTTCAACTAGGTTCCCTATATGTCAGCTCGAAAAGTATGTTTCATGTGCGCTTTTCTAGGGACTCCGTGGTATTGGTAACCGGCCTCACTGGGTCTGTATAGCACTAAGCGTTCAGTTTGAAGCTGCACTATTCGATTGGGTCCCCATCAACAGCCGTCTGTGTGCTGTCAGGTTGAAAGGTTCATCTTTAGTTAGAAGTAACCGGCAAGAGAAACGATATCTCTTTGTCATCTCTGCTTTTGCTCCGGATGCGACCAAGGATGAGTTCTACCGTCGAGATAAAGCATGATCAAGAGTAGCATGGAAAGGAAATGAAGACGATTTTGGGGTTATGTTCTACTCAGTGGTAGCTAGCAGTACAATCTAGAAGATGTTTTTCGTCCCATTTGGGACTCATCAGCAGTTTATCTGTCAACAGTGGTCGAGCAATTCGACCAAGTATGGCAACGGAAAATTACAAGTATCAATAAAAGGTGTGGGAATACTAAAATATGTAATAAAATATAACAGAGTTGTGAATATTACCTATTGCCTAAGTCCAAAGTAGCAATCATGGCTAGACACTTAATTCCGGTTTCTTTGTGCATATGGCAAGAACCTCTGTAGGAACAAAAAAGGTGGAAACACCGTTTTTAGAAAATTTTGTTTTCATCTTGTAGATGACTTTGAACACTGAATCATTTATGGTGCTGTAGTCAGTGTTGACAGAGTGTTCAATTTTTGCACTCGTGATGGATCCACTCGCATATTTTTCCAGTCAGGAGGCATAATGCTCTCTAACCCGTTTGGTAAAAATGAGCATCAAACGATCTGCATACCTGGCTTCAAAGGAACAGGTGAATTAATAAACTCATATGGAAGAAGGGGTTAGATGCAGAAGTTTATCCTTCTGGTTGTCAGTAATCATTGAATGGTTAGAGAATGCAATCCTCAAGATTGACACGAAAAGTATTTTCTTTAATGAGTTTGAAACTCCTCTTTTCAAGGTATCACCACCGGTGAAGTCAAGATTCATGCAGAGACCATTTGTCAGTGAAAGAACTCAATGAGTTTCTGAATTATTCTACCAAGTAAAATGCGAAGTATCGTGGATTAACAGAAATGGGAAATAGTTAGCCATTTGATCTCAACATTAATGGCTGAACATTAGTGCTCTCAGTGTGAGACCTGATAATGCGTCTTGAGCTCTATCTCTGCCGAGGGGTCGTCAGTGTGCACTTCTGAGGAGTACGACAATAGGATAACGCCAGGTTTTCAATGATTCCCTCAATTGATATGTTATTATGATGAATAGTACCATGATGGTGGTTTGCTATTCTCTGAGCTCTGATACTTTGTCATGTACGTTTCATCCATAGGCTTAGTGACATCTGCACCAGCACTACCTTCATAAAGAAGTAAAGCATATTCGAATGTTACGACGCTGACAAGATGCAGAGTCTTCTGAACACTGAGTGGGAATTTGAGAATGTTTGAGATGCGATTTTCACCACCCAAATGCAAATGTTTGCTCCAGGACTGGTCTTCAGCGGTACCACGGCTAACAATAGAGAGTGAAGTGGTTGAGTGTGTTGACCACTTCACTTACCTAGGGAGTAGGACCAACCCCGGTGGGTTAGTCGCCGATGAGATTTCTGCACGGATACAAAAGGCTCGATTGGCTTTTGCCAATTTGCGCCACCTATGGCGCCGCCGTGATATGATATTCGTTTGTCTATTAAGGGTTGCGTGTACTGCACAGCAGTCCGCTCTGTTCTACTGTATGGCTGTGGAACATGGCCATTGAAAGTGGAGGATATAAAAAGGCTTCAGGTGTTTGACCACCGTTGCCTTCGTAGTATAGACCACCGTATTCCGTGGTGTTACCACACCGCGTGAGTAATGCAGAAGTTAGGTGTAGAGTTTTGGGGAGAAGAGGTAAGTCAGTTGACGAGGTTGTGAAGCTTCATCGACTGAGATGGTTGGGACACGTACTACGTATGCCTATTCACTGATTGCCTCATCACACAATGTTGGCTGAGGTGGGTCCAGGCTGGAAAAAGGGTGGAGGTGGCCAGACTAAAACATGGCACCAATGTATGAAGTCTCTGACTGTTGGTTTAAGCCATGTAGGACGATGCAGACTAGGTGGTTGGGGTTGGCGGGACAAGAGGAACCAGTGGTTGGAGACAGACTCTAGGTGATATGGCTGAGAACCGATGTGAGTGGCGCAGATGTATACACACATTATCCTCATCTTAACATTACTATACCGAATCTCACCATTTTGTCACTCCTCTTTCCTTTCTTCTCGTACTTTATATTTCTTTTGACTGCCTTCTCTTATCTTCATCCTTCACCTCACTACCTTTCTACTTGATGAACTGACGTGAGGTGTGGTAACTCGGACCGTTACGCAGTAATGCCTGGTCCTATGTTGATAATGATGATGGTGTTTTTTAATTAACCTTGAATGTTGTCGAGTTGTAAGTTGCAGAAGAAATACCCTGACCTCTTTGACCTTGAATCTTCTTTAGTCATATGATTAGATAACCTTTGTTAGAGTGAAAACTGTGCTATTTGTTGTTGTTGTCGTCACACTGTATGCATCATGATTGATTTGTTAGGTCAGTTCACCCATGGTTAGTGGATGATGATAACTGTACTTTTTAAGATTGTAAATCAGGTCTGTCGGTTGACATTTCGTTTGAATGCTATACTTCTAGATATTCTCTTACAGCTTTGAAACTTGCTCTCTGGAGGATTTCCATATTCACCCAGTTGAATTTATGATCTTGATTGTTTGCATCCATTGAAAGCAAGGAGGCAACATCATGTGTTGCATTATTGCTAATTGGTTTTCATGAATTCTATAAGCAGTTCAACGACTAGATTGACCAATATTGGTAACAGATTCATTGATTTGTACAACATGCTGTGTAGTGATTTCGTTGATTTGTGTGCTATTGTGATTCCGAAAGGAGGAAGCAATCAGCTGACTGTTTCTGAGATTATCCTCTATGATGTAGGATAGTGTAACATGCCTATTGATTTGAGACAGTTACCTTGCCTTCTTTCCTATTGGTAAACAGTTTTTGATAAAGTTGGTTGGATGATCATTGGCTTTAAAAACATTTTGTACAGACAGTTTTCTTTGGCTTCTCGTAGTGCTTCAATTCTGCAATGTGTTTTAGCTCTTGAGAATAATGCTTGTATACAACATTTCGTATAGACTGTGGGATGATTTCTGATTTGTCTGTGTGTGTGTGTGTCGTTTGGCTGTACACTTGAGTTTGTAGTCTTGTCGTGTGTTCTGATGTTGAAGACATTTAAGAATGAAATTTTTTTCATTGAATTCCTCCTCTTTTACAAAGTGAATTACTTCAAATATTTGAATGTATTTTCGATTTCATCTTTGAGAATCCAAATTTTTGGCTTGATGAGGTGGATAATCATTGATTCTTATCGGTGCATCACAGTTTCAGTAATCAATTCTGATATTAACGATTATCTTTGTATAGCCAGAAAGGGTTTGGTTGTTCTTCAGAGGAATATCTATTGTATTCTTGACTAGATTTGAGTCGACTGAAGTGAAGGATAAAGTCACATTAAAGCATTATCATCCTTTCATCACTGCTTATGCATTAACGAGTCGAATAAAGGTGTTCCAGGTGGTGAAACTATTGGTCACAGTGGAATATTTATCTTATGTATCCTAGGTCAACCTCGGTAGGATTGATCCGTTTGTCTTCATCCGTTATTGTTCTTCTTTTGTGATTTAGCTGACTTTTACTGAACTCAGTTTCCTTTGGATCTGGATCACCTTTTAAGCAGTAATGAGATCAAGTGAAGGGTATTAGGTAAAACAAGCAAGTTAGTTTATGCTGTAGTG